AATTCCCTTGTGCTTAGATTTGTCTGGAGTTGTCCTAGAGAAGGACCTTTAGACTGAAATATATCCGATTACTGCTGTCACGCGTTGGCATATTAAGGATCTACCATACATAGAGAATTATCTATACACGAGTCTGTGTTAGTATAGTTAAGTACACTTTCAACGGTTATTCTTTGACGTTATTTCTTTTCTCTTCATGACATTCTGTATACTTGACTGCCATTATAATTTTTTGAAGATATAACTATATTAGCAAAACATTTTAAAAAAGCAGTAATTTCTCAGATTATTTCTCCTTCTATTGGTCGAAATCTGTGAAAAGTTTACCAAGTTGATGCTACAATGCGAATAAGAGAGAAGGTGATCATTTCGCTTATATCAAAAACATCGGCGGCAGCATCGCTGATGAAGATACGGTCCAGTTCGGACATTTTGAGATTCAGATTCATTTGAAGTGAAAATTGGCCAAAGTTTCATAAAGCTGTAACGACTGCGAGTTTTGCGGTGTTAAAAAGTCAAACGATTTTGTATGCGAAATTCGGATCAGCCCTTATGAAGGCAGTCTTTCCCAGTATGGACTAGGCTAAAGGTGGATGCGCGTCCACAATGCCATGATTTTGCTCTTTTAACTTGCTATGGAAACTCGTGTCTCTTGGACCCCTCGGCAATGCTTTCACTCGAGCACAACATTTTCGTCCTCATGATTGTAAAGCACCAAAATGTACACTCTGGCTATATGCATCTCCTTCGTAGAACGTCCTATGCCTACATCTAGCACTTCACATAGAAATACACTATCAGCTCTCAAGCTCAGATTTTTGGCCCCGTACTGAGGACAGCTAAGTAACAGGAATTGTATGCCTCTACCTAGCCGTTCTGCTATTTAGGTGAAAGCTCCTGCAAAGTTTATCCCTTCAAATAATGTTGACTTTGCACTCTTTGAGCCTATAAATTTTCTTAGGGCAGGCAAATCGTTGGTAGAGCCTAGTTTTCTCGCTATTACACCTTTTTCCAACAACAGCAAAGAAAAAACTGGCATCATCCATTATTTTTGTTACCACCATTATTCTTTTGTCTTGCTTGCCATATTGTTGCTGATCAAAAATCTACATTCAGTATTCTCCTTGATCACGTTATCACGTCTGTAAGTGTTTTATGGCAGGAGCCGATGTTGTTATGCCGATTTTTTTGAATAGAAAGTGAGGAAAGAAGATTTTGGTGGTGATTTATTCATTTTCTATTGTTATTTATAATTTATGTGATAGGATGTATAATTACTTAGAAACATTTGCGATGTACGATAGATGGGCCAGATTCATCGTATTCTTGCTTAGAGATCCAAAGTTGTTGGAAGGTGGATAGGGAAGCTAGGATGGAACCACCAATCCAAACCGAATATTTTCTCTCCGGCGGAGCAATGATTTTGATTTTCATCGTGCTAAACGAGAAAAGATAAATAGTGCACAGAACAATGAACACTATACTTACCTTGGCGCCAATAGCTGAATCTCTTTCTGCATTCTGTCGGCAACCCCAGGGAACATCGAAGTGCCTCCAGACAGAACGGTGTTAGCATAGAGGTCCTGAAATTTTACGCTTCATGTCTTTCTCTTTGAACAAATATTAGAAATTCCTTTCAAAAGATATTGTTTGCAAAGCAAAGCTCTGAATATTGTCACAACGAAAAAAAA